ACCAACAAGGCCCACATTCCCTTTCATGGCCCATTAAGATCCACTAAATTAATTACATTCGAATCCTCTCAGGTTCCCTAAAGCCCCACAACCATTTCGGCCCATTAAAGAAATCCCCAATTTCCTAAATTATACTGGTTAATAATCATCATAGACTCGTAAGCCCCATCAATCAAACCCAGACCAAAACGAGGGCCCATTAACCAACCCAAACCCAAATAAGACCCCACTTGGGCCATCGAGCCCCCTTCCGGACCGAGGCCCAAATGGGAAAGCCCTCTCTGCCTTTGCCCATGAGGCGAGGCAGATGCCCATCTGCATAGCCTGCTCGGCACATGGGCGTGCCTAGCAAAGCCTTATAGCACGAAAAGTCGTACGAGAGGCGTGCCCTGGACGAGCCGTCCCAGTACTTAAGCATGTCAAGGCAGGCCCTCTTGTGCACAATGCGCACGCGCTCGCTCAGCAAGACAACATGACACAGGCGTGTTGTACATGCCCACTCCGCATGGCAATGTGGCCTCGCATGTGGGCCTCTCGGCATGCGGGCATGCCTGACAGGCTGTAGCACACACGTACACACGCACATATGCACACAACCCTCGCAGCAGGTCCTCTCGACATGCTGTCATGCCTGGTAGGACATGTGCGCCCGCGCACAGCAAGCCGGGGGCGCCCTGTCCTGGCACGTAGACATGTCAAGACAAAGTTCATCACGCATGCAAACATGACACAACCATGTACTACAGTCCACTTCGGCACCTTGGTGCCTAAACACAATAAACTCATGTCCTCTCCAGTCTAGTTTTCTCCTATTCCATTCATTTCACTTCACTTCATATACATACAATCAACACATCAAAATTTAAGCATCAAAATCAAGTAAGGCAGCATCAAACATTAGTCAAAATAACAATCAAAGCCACTCAACACACACACACACAACAAACACATCATACATGCATTATTCTTCAAATTTTTAAAAGGTTAAAAACATATAAAATTCATTAGGAGCTTAAAGAGAAATATCCAAATTCCTTACCTATCACTATCTAGTTTCGGGTTCCAAAAATAACGAGGAAGCTTCATGGGTTTGAGAGGAGAAGACGGTAGCAGCAGCAGTCCACGGAGCTGCAGAACCTGTTCTGCAATCGAGGATGAAAAGGAAAGGCTTGCACGTGAGGTGCATCAGCACCATAAGGAAAGAAAAATCGGGAAATGGAGGATGGTTACCACTCGAGGAAGGAAGAAAGACTCTGTGGCAAGCCTGCAATAGCGGAGGAGGAGGTGGTAGCTCACGGTGACTCTCCCTCACTCTCGGACTCACTGTTTAATTTGAAGTTTCCTCTTCTTTTTGGGTTACAGCAGAGGAAAATGAAGGAAGTGAAGAAGGAAGGGGTTTAAATATCAAAACTTGAAGAAATGAAGAAGGGAGGGCCGTTGATCGGCTTGATAGTCGACCGACGCTGGTGGAAGCTGGCCGCATGTGTGCCGGGCGGTAAGAGGATTCTTTGGAGACAGTGGGGTCTTGCCTGATTAGACTTCGGCCAATGAGAGGGGTGCGGGCCCTATTCTGCAAGCATGCAGGCGCGAGGCAATCCATGCAGGCAAGGGACTTCTGCCTGCAAGGCAAGAATGCCCACGTGCGTTCCCGTGGGCCTTTTTCTGCGAGGCTTGCCCGCGGGAGTTTTCTCTTCTCTGTTCTTTTTTTTTTGCTTTCTTTTGTTTTAAGTTTTCAAATAATTAAAGAATAGTTTAAAAAAAAAAAACGTAAATATGCACATGTATAAAAGTTCAACCATCATATTAAAATCTCAAATTTTAAATACATGCATCCGATGTTCGAATAAGTTCAGGGGTATCACAAAATGACTAGAATATTGAGGAATATGTGAATCTCCTTGCTATGCTCAAAACGGATTTCTACACAAGAATTAAGAGGATGTCCTTGTGTAGAATAAATTCTCCATATAGTCCTATTTTTCCTTTTGGAAGAGGGATATTGTATTTGACAACTTCCATACAAGAACCTATTTGGCAACGGAAGGCAACCCCCAGGGTTACCTTTTCTTTTGTTAGGGAAGGTGCTTGAGAACACTTTCTTACCTTGGATAATCTAAGGAAGACAGCCACATCATCATTAATCATAGCCTGCTTTTTCTAGGTCATAATGAATTCCCAAACCATCTTCTCTTTTGGCGTCCTGAAGGGTGTTTCCAATTTGGATCTATTAGTTAGCAAATGGGTATCAAGTGGTTCTAATTAAAATAATCTTTAGCTTCAGATGGTCTTGTCATAAAAACAAGAAAGAATTGGTGTTTCCACTTTGGATCTATTGGTTAGCAAGTGGGTATCAAGTGGTTCTAATTAAAATAATCTTTAGCTTCAGATGGTCTTGTCATAAAAACAAGAAAAAGCCTATTAGTCCTCAAATCATCTTTGGACTGCATGGGTAGAAAGGAATAAAAGATATTTAAAGGAATTTCTATCTAAGTTGTTCATATTAAGGACCGTTAGTTCCAGATTTCATGTATTTTGTTTAGGCTTAATCTATCCTTCATGAGGAAGATCTAGAGAAGCTCATTGATCTTTTGGCAAAGCCCTCTTTTAATTCTCTGCTAGTTTCTGCTTTGTTCCCTCTCATGTAGTTTCGTGGCACCCCCTTTTTGCCTCTTAATATTATTATTCTTTTCTTCTCAAGAAAAAGGTAAAAGGATGACCCTTATACAATTTTAGCAAAAAGAATACAACTCCTTAAAAGTCCTCAGCAATTTTGAAGTAGAACTATTATTAAATATTCAGCATCACAAATTAAACTATGCTACTGATGAACCAATTATACCAGATAATGAGACAAGAATAAAATCAATGATGTTAACACACCAAACACAACTTCGAAGAAATGCCTTCAAATCACCTAGAGACATCAGAGTTCAATTGATGATCTTTCAAGTTGCCAACTAAATTATAAACAAAGAACAATCCACTGACATAATATTTTTTTAACAATATCAAATGGCATAATACCAACAATAAATGTTATGAACAACAAAATATTTTTAGAAGAGCATCAACAAAAAGAGAATCTATAATATGTGGTCCAACCAGGACAAGTAATTGACAAAAGAAAACAAAAAAAGTCATTTAAGCTTTAAGATATGATTGCAGTTCAGATAGGGATCAAGTGCATCAACGACCACAAGAAGACTCAAAACAGGAAATTTAAACCATTAGAGCCTACCTCTGGTAGCATATCCACTTTTCTTCCTGCTGCTATTTCAAATGCGTAGATTTTCATGAGTGCTGTAACTGCATATGCCTTCAAAAATAAGCAAAAATAAATCCCATTTTCTAAACAACCAGAGAGCAAACAAGGAAGACAGGAGATTTTAAGATAGTAACTATATTAGAAATTCAAGTCGCTAAAAATTCCAATAGCTTTCCCAGCACAACTGAACTATGACATAAAAAGAATTTAAGTAGATTATGGTGTTGCGGGTTTTTTTGTTGGAGAAAAAAGCAGATATTGTATTAAAATGCCTGCTACAGGTAACAAGAGGAAAAATCTAGACCTTGTTAGTGCCACTGTTAAATAGTGGATTTCATATTTGAACCCATAAAATATTAGTATTGAGATGTCAGTCTTGGTTAGAAAGGAGGAATTTCCCAACATACCAAGAATTTTGACTATGGTAACAAGAAGTTTACAATGAGGGAAAATCTCTAAAAAAATAGCTATTTGAGTTCTTCATTTCTAAATCACCTACAAAGCCAACCACGACCTCTAAGGAATGCAGTGAAATATGCATGATGTAAGACAAACTAAGAATAATTTGTCCACTTAGTAATTTGGAGATAAAAGCCTAGACACTATACATTGGGTTTCTTACACATCACATATGAAAAAACTCCAGTATAAAAATTACAGGTCACAACTGAAAAATTCAACAACTCGCAGGGCATCTTACTGAACAATTGAAGTCTATCTCAAAAAGTGAAACTACAAAAATAGATATTTATAATTCTTCTAGGTAATTTTAGTAAAGAGGATTAACTACAAATAGTGATACAAATAGAATAAGGAAATATTACTACTAATGTAAATAGAAAAACTAACAGTAATAAAAACAAAATCATAAAGTTACTTAAACTATAAGCAGACTCCTAAATAGTATTGTAATTATATATTTAATAGTATTATGATTTCTAATCTATTTAGAAAATCTAGAGCTAATGCATCATGCATTGATGCAAGTTCCTAATAATAAAGTATGCAAGAAATTTGATTATGCTTGGTATAATGGGGTAGAGCAATGGATGATAAAGCTCCTTAGCCTAATCCTAACCCAACTGGGAGAGAGATTTTTTTCTG